TAGGCGGACGTCAACTCCCAGAATTCCCCAACCAGTAGGAAGGCCTCGACTTACAAACACAATTCGGACTGTTTTTTTATTTTTTTATTTTTATTTTTAACCAACAAGACAAAACAAAACAAAGCAAAAGATAACACACACACAATATATATACTCCTTTTTTTTTTTTAACAGCAATTGCGTAACGGTAATCTATTATTTACATTTCCCCCTTATTCTTCTTTAGAATATTTGTCCTTATAGCCCCGTTATTTCTTATTTACATTTTTCTTCCTTCATGTTCTACTTCTTACTAAGAATAATTCATATTATTATTATTATTATACATTATTATACACATATTTTCACTTTTGACCTTTCCATATTTATTCTCCTCTATTATTTCTAGTCTCCAACCAGACATACAACTTGTTCCATATTATATAATACTCTGTGTCTTCTTTTTCTTTTATCTCTTTTGTTAATTTGTCCATCTCAGCACAGTTTCTCCAGCTTGGCGGCTTTCAGATAGGCAGACTGCAACTCCCAGAATTCCCCAACCAGTAGGGAGACCTCGACTTACAAACACAATTCGGACGGTTGCTAAGCAAGCTGGGGGGGGGCGGTTAAGTCAGTTCTGCCCAATTTTACTAGCCTTTTGAACACAATGAGTAAGGGAATTGCTGTCGTCCTTAAGCGCATCGTACGGTCAGAATCCTGCTTTCCCCGTTGACTTGGCTTGGAGGGAAGGTCAGAAATGGGGAGCGCATGACCGCGAGCGGCCGCGATTGTCTTAAATGCATGCTGGATGCCAGCCAGGTGCCTTAATTTTGACCATGTGACCTTAAGGATGCTGCTATCACGTCGTAATTAGGAGGACTGCTTGTGAGTCACGTTTTTCTATGCCGTGCTAACTTCAAACGCTTGGCAAATGAATGGTTGTAAGTTGAGGACTACTTATAAAATACACTAAATGGAATTCTGGGAGTGGACGCCCACCCCTCTTAAAACATGGCTGACTGGAGAATTCTGGGAGTGGAAGCCCACCCCTCTTAAAGCATGCTGGCTGGGGGATTCTGGGTGTGGAAGTCTGCCCATCTTAAAGCATGCTGGCTGGGGGATTCTGGGAGTGGAAGTCCACCCCTCTTAAAGCATGCTGGCTGGGGGATTCTGGGAGTGGAAGTCCGCCCCTCTTAAAGCAGGATGGCTGGGGGATTCTGGGAGTGGAAGTCCGCCCCTCTTAAAGCAGACTGGCTGGGGGATTCTGGGAGTGGAAGTCCACCCCTCTTAAAGCATGCTGGCTGGGGAATTCTGGGAGTGGAAGTCCACCCCTCTTAAAGCAGGCTGGCTGGGGGATTCTGGGAGTGGAAGTCCACCCCTCTTAAAGCAGGCTGGCTGGGGGATTCTGGAAGTGGAAGTCCACCCCTCTTAAAGCAGGATGGCTTGGGGATTCTGGGAGTGGAAGTCCGCCCCTCTTAAAGCAGGCTGGCTGGGGGATTCTGGAAGTGGAAGTCCACCCCTCTTAAAGCAGGATGGCTTGGGGATTCTGGGAGTGGAAGTCTGCCCATCTTAAAGCATGCTGGCTGGGGGATTCTGGGAGTGGAAGTCCACTCCTCTTAAAGCATGCTGGCTGGGGAATTCTGGGAGTGGAAACCCACCTATCTCAACATGGCCAAGGTTGAGAAACCCTGATTCAGCTGCTGCAAGCAAGAAGGGACGAATATGGGGCCAGCCCCACAGGAAATCTACAAAGCTGCACATCAAAAGCAAGACAGCATCTCCGGCTGGGGTTTCCCCCCCAGGAATGTACATTATGCCTGCTGGGAAACACAAACTGCCAGAGATGTTGCAAAGCGATTTAATTTCTTGTTCCAGAAAGAGGATTAGAGGCAGCTGTTCGTGGAGTTGTATGTTAAGCTTTGCTGGTGTGTCATGACCTATGAGGTCCAAGTAAATATGCTGGCCAGTACAGAAGACCCCAGTATCTCCAGGGCATACTGGTGTGGGAAGAATGCAGAGAAAAAAAATATTTTGGGAAATATTAAATAGGCAGAATATATTTCCCCAAAGGAACAAAGATGATTAGGGGACTGGAGGCTAAAACATATAAGGAACGGTTGCTGGAATTGGGTATGTCTAGTTTAATGAAGAGAAGGACGAGGGGGGACATGATAGCAGTCTTCCAGTATCTCAGGGGCTGCCCCAAAGAAGAAGGTGTCAAGCTATTCTCCAAGGCGCCTGAAGGCAGGACAGGAAGCAACAGATGGAAACTAATCAAGGAGAGAAGCAACGTAGAACTAAGGAGAAACTTCCTGACAGTGAGAACAATTAACCAGTGGAACAACCTGCCTCCAGAAGCGGTGAATGCTCCAACACTGGAAGTTTTTAAGAAGAAACTGGACAGCCATTTTGAAATGGTACTATAGGGTTTCCTACCTGAGCAGGGGGTTGGACTCAATGACCTCCAAGGTCCCTTCCAACATCATCATCATCATCATCTTAAAGGCAGAAACCACCACCCCCTCAAGTCTCTCTGCCCCAAACAGAAACCAGGTCTGCAGAAATGCAGATGTGATAATCTTGTCAGAAAGATTGGAGCCAGCAAGCTGGGATTAGAAAAAGATCGCTAGAATCCACACTGGAATAGCTCATCTCCCATCTCCCTCACCTTTTAACAGAATAGCAGGGACCTTGGAGGTCATCTAGTCCAACCCCCTGCTCAGGCAGGAAACTCTACACCATTTCAGACAAATGGCTGTCCAGTCCCTTCTTAAAAACTTCCAGTTTTTGGAGAACCCACAGCTTCTGGAGGCAAGTTGTTCCACTGGTTAATTGTCCTCACTGTCAGGAAGTTTCTCCTTAGTTCCAGGTTGCTTCTCTCCTTGATTAGTTTCCATCCGTTGCTTCTTGTCCTGCCTTCAGGCGCTTTGGAGAACAGGCTGACCCACTTCTTCATTTAGGCAGCCCCTCAAATATTGGAACACTGTTATCGTGTTTCCCCTAGTCCTTATTTTCATTAAACTAGACATACCTAATTCTTGGAACCTTTATACGTTTTGGCCTCCAGTCCCGTAATCACCTTTGTTGCTCTTCTCTGCACTCTTTCTAGAGTCTCAGCATCTTTTTTATATCATGGCGACCCAAACTGGATGCTGTATTCCAAGTGTGGTCTGTCTATGTCAGGGGTCCCCAACCCCCGGTCCATGGAGTGGTACCAGGTTGCGGCATGCCAGCAACCGGTCTGCACAAACAAGCAAAGCCCCATCCGTGGGATAAAGGCAGCAGACAAAACCATGCACTCTCCAGTCCATGGAAAATCCTTTCTCCACATAACCAGTCCCTGGTGTCCAAAAGGTTGGGAACCTCTGATCTATGCTATATATACATTGGGACTCTCACCATTACAATGCCTTGGCCATTTTGCAGATACTGGTTTAGATGATTCGAAGGGCAGATGGTCTAAACTCAGCAAAGGGGTGAACTTCGTCCCAGAATTCCCCAGCCAGCCTTCTTTAAGATGGGTGGGCTTCAAGTCCCAGAATTCCCCAGCCAGCCTTCTTTAAGATGGATGGACTTCATCTCCCAGAATTCCCCAGCCAGCATGTTTTAAGATGGGTGGACTTCCACTCCCAGAGTTCCCTAGCCAGCCATGCTTTAAGATGGGTGGGCTTCAAGTCCCAGAATTCCCCAGCCAGCGTGCTTTAAATGGGTGGGCTTCAAGTCCCAGAATTCCCCAGCCAGCCTGCTTTAAGAATGGTGGACTTCCACTCCCAGAATTCCCCAACCAGCATGCTTTAAAATGGGTGGACTTCATCTCCCAGAATTCCCCAGCCAGCACACTATAAGAGGGGTGGGCTTCAGCTCCCAGAATTCCCTATTCCAAATTTCAACGGCACTGAAAAAGACTGAATTACAACCATTTCTTGCACTTTTGACCATCGTAGCATTCCTAAGGTCACGTGATCAGAATTAGGGCGCCTGGCACCCAGCACGCATTTATGACAATCACAGCCTCCCACATGTCATGCCATCCCCATTTATCACCTTCCCAGCTGACTTCTGACAAGCAAAGTCAATGGAGGAAGCAGGATTCACTTAGTGACCGTGTGATTCACTTAAGAATGACAGTGATTCGCTTAACAATCCTCTCAAAAACGCTCGTAAAATTGGGCCTGGATCCATTAACCATCAGCTGGCTTAGCAATGAGGACTGTAAGGCAAGGACTTCCTAGACCAGGGGTAGGCAACCTTGGCTCTTTTATGACTCGTGGACTTCAACTCCCAGAATTCCTGAGCCAGCTATGCTGAGGGGAAAGGGAGAGGTTTCCAAGCTGAACCATGCTGGCTCAGGAATTCTGGGAGTTGAAGTCCATAAGTCATAAAGTGGCCTAGGCCTAGGCCAGAGATAAGCAACCTTGGCTCTTTTATGACTCGTGGACTTCAACTCCCAGAATTCCTGAGCCAGCCACGCTGAGGAGAAAGGGAGAGGTTTCCAAGCTGAACCATGCTGGCTCAGGAATTCTGGGAGTTGAAGTCCACGAGTCATAAAAGAGTCAAGGCTGCCTACTCCTGGTCTAGGCCAGGGGTGGGGAATCTTAGCTCTTTTATGACTCGTGGACTTCAACTCCCAGAATTCCTGAGCCAGCCATGCTGAGGAGAAATGGAGAGGTTTCTATGCTGAGCTATTCTGGTTCAGGAATTCTGGGAGTTGAAGTCCACAAGTCATAAAAGAGCCAAGGTTGACCTACCCCTGCCCTATGCTACAGTTTGTGTGGCCTCCAACTCCCAGAATTCCCCAGCCAACAGAACCCCATTTAAACATGGCTGAGCTTGGTAAACATGGATCTGAATCCCAAGAAGAGCAACCAGGTTTAACGTTGCGCGATAACTGCTGAATAGAAGGGTCTGATGGTGTAGCTGGCTCCGTTCCCCTTGCTCTTGCGTTAGATGTGACTGTGTTCCTCTGAGTCTGTTTTTTCCACACTTCTTTTGTGCTTCAAACACCTCCTTCTTTTTGACAGGAGACCTCGTCTTCTCCCAGCCCTCTGCGGCTCTGCCCGCTTTCCTTTGGCGAAGGGGTGGCATTTGATCCGTTGCCACCCAAGGATGTAAGGTAGATTCTTTGTTTTTATATTGGGGGTTGTGAAATGTCCATGGAGGTTCTCCATCCTCCAGGTGCTTTTTCAAGAATCAACTGGACTTTTTTTTTTTTTTGAAGATGTTTCGCTTCTCATCTGAGAAGCTTCTTCAGCTCTGACTGGAGGGTGGGGAATGGAAGGATTTATACTCCTTGCAGATAGCTGGTCATTTGCCTTCTTTTAGAGCAGTGGTTCTCAACCTTTCTAATGCCGTGACCCCATAATACAGTTCCCCATGTTGTGGTGACCCCCAACCACTTATACATCACCGGGTGCCAGGGGCATGGCCAAAGAAAAGGGGGAACAAATGGCGGACAGCCTTGTTTGGCGACCCCCGTGAAATGATCGTTCGACCCCAAATGGGGTCCCGACCCACAGGTTGAGAACCACTGCTTTAGAGAGTCATTGAGGCTGCTTGGAGATTTACTTGTGTCCTCGGGGTCACCTGAGTAGTGCAAATGGCGATGGAGCCATCTTGGCTGCAGGTGGTTTTCCACCCTGTGTCCCTTCCCTGTTGAAGACAGGTGCACAGGCTGTTGGAGATGAGTCCATGTTGTCTGCATTTCCAACTGAAGCGCAAATGGGTCTTGTAGTCTGCCATGTCTTCTGGAAATCCGTTCATACTTCTGCACCCGTGCCTGTTTTCAACAGTGAAGGGATCCAGGGCAGAAAACATCCTGCAGTCAAGAAGGCTCCACACCAGTGGCCGGATTCAGCCAGTTCGCACCACTTCGGCAGAACCGGTAGCTAATTTTTATTTTTTTGCCCAGGCCCAGAATGGACTTCCGGAAGCAGCATCCACACAGAGAACTGGTTGTTCACAGATTTGAATCCCACCACTCCGTTCCTTCCTTCCTTCCTTCCTTCCTTCCTTCCTTCCTTCCTTCCTTCCTTCCTTCCTTCCTTCCTGTAGTGGGATTCAGCTGTTCGCACTGCTTCAGCAGAACCGGTAGTTATTTTTTTGTTGCCCAGGCCCAGAATGGACTTCCGGAAGCAGCATCCACACAGAGAACTGGTTGTTCACATATTTGAATCTCACTACTCCTTCCTTCCTTCCTTCCTTCCTTCCTTCCTTCCTTCCTTCCTTCCTTCCTTCCTTCCTTCCTTCCTTCCTTCCTTCCTTCCTTCTTTCCTTCCTTCCTTCCTTCCTTGTTTTAAGCATGCTTTAAGATGGGTGGATTTCAATTCCCAGAATCCCCTAGCCAGCATGCTTTAAGATGGGTGGATTTCAATTCCCAGAATTCCCCAGCCAGCATGTTTTAAGATGGGTGGACTCTCATTCCCAGAATTCCCCAGCCAGCATGCTTTAAGACATGAGACTTCAGCTTCCAGAATTCCCCAGCCAGCATGTTTTAAAACACGGGACTTCAATTCCCACTGAGTCAACTCAGCATCCTTTCTGAGGAATGCTGGGAATTTGAAGTCCACCATACTTAAAGTTGCCAAGTTTGAAAAACACAAAACAGTGCAGGGTGGAATGACTCTCCCTCCGATGAAATGGGCCTGGGTCTCAAGTTACAGCTGCAAATGGATAATAAAAACAGATTTCTTGGCTAGAAGAACAGACAGCTGTGCGAGTAAACTTCTGCCTTGAAATCGTAAGCCTTTGGGTTGGTTTTAAAGTCTGTCTGTCTCCCATAACAGTCAGCTAAAACAGCATAAGATTTGATAAAAAGACACAACTAAAATCTTCAAGCACAGGCAATCCTCTACTTACAACCGCCATGGAGCCCAAAATTTCCATTGCTAAACGAGACAGCGGTTAAGTGAGTTTTGCCCCATTTTACGACCTTTCTTGCCACCGTTCTTAAGTGAATCACTGCAGTTAGTCACATAGTTGTTAAGTGAATCCGGCTTTCCCACTGACTTTGCTTATCAGAAGGCCGCAAAAGGAGATCACATGACCTCGGGACACTGCAACCGTCATAAATATGGGTCAGTTTTTAAGCATCTGAATTTTGATCATGTGACCATGGGGAGGCTGCAACGGTCGAAAGTGCGAAAAAAGGTCATAAGTCGCATTTTTCAGTGCTGTTGTAACTTTGAACAGTCATTAAATGAACTGTAGTAAGTCAAGGAATACTTACCTCTAACTACAGATAGTACTTGACTTACAACAGTTGTTAATAATAATAATAATAACAACAACAACAATAATAATAATGTAGGAAGGGACGTTGGAGGTCATCTAGTCCAACCCCCTGCTCAGGCAAGAAACCCTATACCATTTCAGATAAATGGCTGTCCAGTCTCTTTCTTCGTAAAAACCTCCAGTGTTGGAGTATTCACAGCTTCTGGAGGCAGGTTGTTCCACTGGTTAATTCTTCTCACTGTCAGGAAGTTTCTCCGTAGTTCTAGGTTGCTTCTCTCCTTGATGAATTTCCATCCATTGTTTCTTCTCCTGCCTTCAGGTGCTTTGGAGAAGAGCTTGACTCCCTCTTCTTTGGGGCAGCCCCTGAGATATTGGAACACTGCTATCGTGTCCCCCCTCGTCCTTCTCTTCATTAGACTACACAGGCCCATTTCCAGCAACCGTTCCTTATGTTTTAGCCTCCAGTCCCCTGATCCTCTTTGTTGCTCTTCTCTGCACTCTTTCTAGAGTCTCAACACTTTTTTTACATCGTGGTGACTAAAACTGGATGCCGTATTCCAAATCCATTTAGTGACCATTCAAAATTACAACGGCACTGAGAAAAGCAATTTATGGCCAATTTTTCACACTTACGACCACTGCAGCATCCCCGGGATCACCTGATCCAAATTCAGATGCTTGGCAACTGACTCATATTTATGACGGTCGCAGCCTCCCGGGGTCACGTGATCCCCTTTGGCGACTTTTTGACAAGCAAAGTCAATGGAGGCGCCAGATTCAATTAACGACCGTGCGACTCACTTAACAACTGCCGTGATTCACTTAACCGCCGTGGCAAGAAAGGCCGTAAAATGGGGCAAAACTCACTTAACAAGTGTCTCATTCAGCAACAGAAAATTTGGGCTCAATTGTGGCTGTAGGTGGAGAACTACCTGTAATTTTTCCAGTGAAGGAGAATATTCATAGGTCAGGGTTAAAATGATGGATCTCTAAGCCAGAGGTCTCCAATCTTTTTGGTTTGGCAACCTGGAAAGTGTGGCACGCACTGCTATGTGTGTGTGTGAAAAAATGAGCCCCCACAGGCACGCGCCTAAATGGCCCGCGCACGAGTGCATGCACACATGCAAATGGCTGCATGTGCACGTGGAAACAGGCCTGCGCGGGCGTGAGTGCTGCAAATGGGACAGTGCTAGCGCTGGCAGGATGCTTGGACCGGCACTAATTTATTTATTTATTTATGAGACTTATATACCGCTTTAAGTGCAAGCACTCTCTAAGCAGTGTACACCAGTAAGCAATGTATATATATATATATTTACATTGCCCCCAACAATCTGGGTCCTCATTTTACCTACCCCGAAGGATGGAAGGCTGAGTCAACCTTGAGCCGGTGAGATTTGAACCGCTGACCTGCTGAACACAGTCAGCTAAAGTGGCCTGCAGTACTGCACTCTAACTGCTGCGCCACCTCGGCTCATAATGCTGGTGGGACACTCGGGGCGGGGCGGTGCTAGCGCCAGCGGGATGCTCAGGGCAACACTAGCGCGAGTGTGGGTGGGTGAGTGCATGCGCGTGTGTACATGCGCTGGCCATCCCCTCACGCGGCCCAGTGGCCAAATGGCCGCGGACCAGTAATGGGCTGCAGCCCACAGGTTGGAGACCCCTGCTCTAAGCTTGCTTGTTTTCCTCCCAAGATATTTTGGAAATTCCTAATTTTTTCCTTCCAGGAAAAGGATGTTCATCTGTATTATTTTTTTCCTTGCCCAGGTACACCTCCTCCGTTAAGTATGACTCCGAAAAACACTTCATCAATGATATTTACATGCCGGTCCGGCTAGGCGTGTCGTCTTGCAGCCAAACCATCATTTGTGTTCCCGACAGCACGTGGCGCAGTTACAAATCCGAGGTGCAATTCCACCTTTGCAACCGGCCCGGGAATTTCAGAAGCACCACCATTGTGTACCCCAAGCACACCAAGACTGTGTACACCACGACCCTGGATTACAACTGCAAAAAATTCAACCGGAAATTCTTGTCTAGCGTCGAGTTGGAATCGTCTGGAAGTGAGAACCACCCAGAAAGCTGTTGACTTTCTCTCTGGCTGCAACTCAACTCGCTTCTTCTATACCACCCTCTTTTTTATGCTCAGGAGTGACCAGTTGGACATCCGCACCACGATGGGTTCAACAGGCCACAGGAACGAGGAAGGGACAGCATCAATCAGTGGTTGCTTTGCTTCCTGCCATAGCTAGTCCTCAACTTACAAGTGTTCATTTAGTGACCATTGAAAGATGCAAAGAGTGACTTATGACCGTTTTTCACACTTACGATCTTTGCAGCCTCCCCTGGGTCACGCGATCAACGTTCGGACGCTTGGCAATTGGTTCATATTTATGACGGTTGTGGCATCCCGGGGACCTGCGATCTCCGTTTGCGACCTCCACATCGATGGGGGAAACCAGATTCATTTAATAACCGTGTCACTAATTTAATAACTAGAGTGATTCGCTTAATAAAAGTCATAAAATGGGGCAAAACTCACTTGGCAAATGTTTCACTTAGCAACATAAATGTGGGATTCAGTTTGTGGTTGTACGTTGAGGACTACCTGTATTCTTTGCAGGCCATGGAGTGAAAATAATAATAATAATAATTAAATGTCTAATCTCTGATTGCTCCAAAAATGGATTTTTTTAAAAAAAAAAATCTAATTTCCCTCCGTCCATGTTCTACCTTCTCATCTTTGTTGAGATCAATGGGGAAAAACATCTGAATGATTGATTGAGAGAGAGAGAGAGAGAGAGAGAGAGAGAGAGCAGACGAGAGAGAGAGAGAGAGAGAGAGAGAGAGCAGATGAGAGAGAGGAGAGAGAGAGCAGACGAGAGAGAGAGAGAGAGAGAGAGCAGATGAGAGAGAGAGAGAGAGAGCAGATGAGAGAGAGGAGAGAGAGCAGACGAGAGAGAGAGAGAGAGCAGACGAGAGAGAGAGAGAGCAGATGAGAGAGAGGAGAGAGAGCAGACGAGAGAGAGAGAGAGAGCAGATGAGAGAGAGAGAGAGAGAGCAGATGAGAGAGAGAGGAGCGAGAGCAGACGAGAGAGAGAGAGAGCAGATGAGAGAGAGAGCAGATGAGAGAGAGAGGAGAGAGCAGACGAGAGAGAGAGCAGATGAGAGAGAGGAGAGAGAGAGCAGACGAGAGAGAGAGAGAGAGCAGACGAGAGAGAGAGAGAGAGAGCAGATGAGAGAGAGAGGAGAGAGAGCAGACAGAGAGAGAGAGCAGATGAGAGAGAGAGAGGAGAGAGAGCAGACAGAGAGAGAGAGAGCAGACGAGAGAGAGAGAGAGAGCAGACGAGAGAGAGAGAGAGAGCAGATGAGAGAGAGAGAGAGCAGACAGAGAGAGAGAGAGAGAGAGCAGATGAGAGAGAAAGAGGAGAGAGAGCAGACGAGAGAGAGAGAGAGAGAGCAGATAGAGAGAGAGGAGAGAGAGCAGACAGAGAGAGAGAGAGAGAGCAGATGAGAGAGAGAGAGAGCAGATGAGAGAGAGGAGAGAGCAGACGAGAGAGAGAGAGAGAGAGCAGATGAGAGAGAGGAGAGAGAGCAGACGAGAGAGAGAGAGAGAGAGAGCAGATGAGAGAGAGAGGAGAGAGCAGACAAGAGAGAGAGAGAGAGAGAGAGAGAGCAGATGAGAGAGAGAGGAGAGAGAGAGCAGATGAGAGAGGAGAGAGAGAGGAGATGAGAGGGAGAGAGAGAGGAGAGAGAGCAGATGAGAGAGATGAGACAGCAGAGGAGAGAGGAGAGGGAGAGAGAGAAAGAGAGAGAGAGAGAGATGGCATTCCAGAGTTTTTGGAAAAGAAAACACTTTATATAGATTTTCAAATACAACTCAGATAAAGCCAGAAATAAACCAGCTTTCCACCACCACTGATGTAGTGGAATTAAAAAAAGAAGAAGAATTAGAACTACTTTTAAACCAGCATGAAATCCTTGTGTAAAGAATCTCATATTTCATCCACGGTCACATTAAAAATTAGTTCCCTTCTAACGTCCCTTTCTGCTTAAAGGTTCCCGTACTTTTTCCTTTTATGTATAAAAATAACAGTTTCTCCCCCCCCCCACTCTTTCTTTTCTTTTGGTTTTTTTTTTCTTTTGCTTTCCCTTTCAGTGCTTCTGATGTTTTCTTATATGGGGTGAAAATCAGGATCTGTTTTCTAAGAGGAAACTTAACCTTAAGTAAGTGACTTACTTTTCTTCTTACTTTAAGTAAGGGGAAAATAATTTGAAGGGATTGTGGAAACGATATGGTTGTTCTGATTCAGAGTGTGTAAAAAAATAAATAAAACTTTTTTTCATCTCCTCTTTTGAAGCCGTTGTTATTTTTAGGCTAAATTCAGCACCTCCTTTTTTTAAGTTATAGCAGTATTTTTCAAAGTTGGGAACATGAAGATGGGTGGACTTCAACTCCCAGAATTCCCCAGCCAACATGGCCGGCTAGAGAATTCTGGGAGTTGAAGTCCACCCATCTTCACGTTCCCAACTTTGAAAAACGCTGAGGTAAAGTATAATATATAGATTTTGCTGGAGCAGTTCCTAATTTTAGATTGATGTAGAATTTTTAAAAATAATCTCTTATTCTACTCAGGATGTTTGAAGAATTCAGAATGCCTCTAGGCGGTTGTTTGAAAGGGTTTTACATTTTTTAAAAAAAAAAGACCAATGAGATATTATAGATGTATTTTAACCAATATATTGTATCTTATTTGCTATAAAATTATTTCTCTGTTCTTTCCCGTGACTTTTTGCTAATTTCCTTTGCAGTGATCAAACAAAAGCATTTTGTTTCAGACAGGCCTTTTAATCATTAATTCCAAGCAATGAGAGAAATAAAAGTTATGGCTTCGTTTTGGATAGGAAAATGTATTTATGATGGGATAACTTAGATAGAGAAGACAGAAAAGAAGAAAAGTAGATAATTGCATGGACTTGTGGGAATTGGCTGTTAATTTTGAGAAAGGGACAGGCAGCTGCAAACTTTTTCCCAGGATAAGGTTTTTACATCTGAAGCCACTTTTTACATTCTTGAGTGCGGATTAAATGTAATGTGTGTTTTATTGTCTTCCAGCTGTTTTCCTGTGTGAAATGAGGTGGTTTTGGGATCAATAATCCCTAATCACAAAATATGAGAGGAAAAAATCAGCAAAAAAACCCAGATATTTACATTTGTGTTTCAGGATCAATATATCCCCACAAAATTGGAGAAAAATTTAGCCAAGGTTAAAAAATCAATATTTGTTCTTGTGTGTTCAGGATCAATCATCCCTAATCACAAAATGAGAGTAAAATTCAGCAAAGGCTAAAAAATAAATATTTGCTTTTGTGTATTCAGGATCAATAATGCTGAATAAAAACAGGGAGAAAAAAAATCAGAAAAAAAAATAAAAAACCAAATATTTACTCTTGTGTCTCAGGAACAATAATGCCTAATCACAAAATGGGAGAAAAATTCAGACAAGGTTAAGAAACAAATATTTCCTTTCAAATAGGCAGTCATGTAACTCAGTTAAGGTTGGGTTAATCGTGGTTTGTAAGAGAAACCACATCTCATAGCATGCTGGATTGTAAGCCATAGTTTCGGCACCTTTGATGAATCCAGAAAATATTCCATAAGACTGGTAGTCATATATCCAAAGAAAATAGTTTAAAAAAAACCAACAGTCTAGTTCAGTGGTTCTCAACCTGTGGGTCAGGACCCCATTTGGGGTCGAACGACCATTTCATGGGGGTCGCCAAACAACGCAGTCCGCCATTTTTTTCCCCCTTTTCCTTAGCTGTGCTACTCCCTTTTATTCTATTGGCTTTTGAAAGCCAATAGAATAGACTCTCTTGAATAGAGTCTAATTCTATTGGCTTTCAAAAGCCAATAGGAATTGTCCAAACTGTCTCTGCCCTGCTGAGCCCGCCAAAAGTCCCATTCTGCAAACGGTGCTGCACCAGTTGAGTGGTCCTCGATTTACGACCGGTTGAGTAGTCCTCGACTTACGACCGGTTGGGGGTCACGGCATTAAAAAGGTTGAGAACCACTGGTCTAGCTCAAACAGATTTAATTGATGGAATATGAATACGATAATCAAAAGTGTTGAGCAGGACCCAATGCTTAGCTTTAACTGAAAAAGTTCTTTGAAAGTGATAAGAATGGAGAAGGGGGTTGGATTAGATGACCTCCAAGGTCCCTTCCAACTTTATTATTATTATTATTATTATAAGTATTTTGTGATATTTGTGTGAGGCCTGATTCGTGGGGAGGATTTTGTTGGCGCACAGCAGTGTTAATTTATGACAAGATTTTTCAATTTTGGCAACCTTAAAACTTCAACTCCCAGAATTCCCTAGCCAATCTTGTTAGCTAGGGGAATTCTGGGAGTTGAAGTCCACCCTTGTTAAAATTGCGAAGTTTAATTAATTTGATTATTAATTTGTAACCCTGTCCTCAGCTCTGGGAAGTGGGGGGAGGGGTAGGGGTGGGTGGGTTTTGTGATATTGTATGCTGTATAAAACTTTTTAATAAAAAATAACAATAATAAAAAATAAAAAATTGCGAAATTTGAAAAATCATGATCTATAGTGGATAAAAATCAGGAGTTTGTAGGACTTCCCCCCCCCAAAAAAAATTTAATAAAACCTTTATGAGCCTTTTAACCAAATCACACATTTAACAAAATCTGGAATATTTCTGCCTTTAAGTCAAATATGTTAGGGAGAAAAGATGCTGCTATTGGACTCTGGATTTTCGCAGAGTATTTAGAGAGACTAGCTCCCTAGAACTGATTTATTTCATTATTATTATTATTTTTGCTGGAGAGGAAACTTGAGAAGTAAAGGAACAAAAAGGAAAAAAAAGCACATTATAAGGAGAGCACATTCCTTTATGTGCTCTCCCTATAATGTGCTTTTTTTTTCCCCTTCTTGTTCCTTTATGCAAACATTGCATTTCTCCAGGCACCTCCCCTAAAATAGCCTCTGGCTGAAAGAAAACTCCAGTTTTGGAAGTCCCGAACCCAGGGCAGGGTGCAAATAAATTATGAGAACAGACCTCAGCCATCACGTGCGGTTTCAACCTTGCCAAGGGGGGGAATAATAGAGTTATTCTTTGAAAAAGCAAATGTTCCTGAAAGAAGCATGTTAGGGAAACCGCCGTGGGCCGTTGTAACCCAGCCAAAACTTAAAAAGTTGCTCCAAGTTGCTGACACGAGTGATATTTTAAGCCAACTGCCTTGATTTTTTTATCTGGCAGCAGAAAGGAATTCTTTAAATTTGTGAAAGGACCTGTTTAAGACCCGCCAGCTATTGTTTTGTGGGCTGGTGTTTAAATGGGAAATATTTTAGCAGGGCACGGTGTTCCTCATCAGGAACATAACTCAGTCATCCCCGCTGCATACCAAGCAGCCTTTTAAAAAAAAGAGACCCAAGAACTGTAAAACGATCCCAGGATGGAAAAATTAAAAAAAATAAGAATTTGTTATGCTACTGCGAGTTTTACAGCCCAGCTCTGGTTATTTCCACTGTGCAAAAACCAGCTTTTTGCTTTCTTTTTAAAATTAACAAAGGCTGCATGGGGGATTCGGGAACATCTCACTCCATACCGCTTGTCCTCGACTTACGAAAACTCGTTTAGCGACCGTTCGGAGTTGCAACAGCCCTGAAAAAAAGTGACCCATGGCAATTCTCATTCTTACGATACACCATGATCAAAATTCGGACTTTTAGCAATGGATTTGTGTTTAGCATCCCAGCGTTACGTGTTCAATATTTGTGACTTTCCCAGCCGGCTTTCGACAAAATCAATGGGGGGAAGCTGGGTTCACTTAACGGCTGTCTGATTTAATTAACAACTGCAATGTTTTGCTTAACAACTGTGGGAAAAATGGTCACATGGAATGGAAATCCTTGTGGTCATAAATTAAGGACTGCCTACGTATCCTGAAATCCAACTGAAAACTGCCATAAGTCAAGTCTAAGAAATTGTGCTGATGACAGGATTTGATGGGAGTATATATATTATTTTTTTTTTTAAAAAAACAACTTTAACTTCCCATTTTTAAAAGTGGGTCAAGGAATACTTTAGCAATAAAAAGGCTATAGGGTGGGTTTTGCTTTTAAGGTTAAGAAATTTGAATTGTTGCATTCTGTACGGTTGGGCAGCCTTTGCATTTTATTGGGCTGTTTCCACACGTTAAAAATTCTTTGCTGTGACATTTTGTCCTGCAAAATTACTTTAAAATATAGGACTTGTGGGGTTTGTCTGCCCAGCCTAACTTGGAAGCCTGGCATAATAAATTATCTGAAAGGGCCCTTAGATTCTGCAAAAAAAAAAAAAAAAAAAAAAAAAATCCTCTATTTTCATTTGACATGTTGTAACAATAGTCTTTTGTGGCCTCCTGGTGTGCATTTTGCATACACAAACGCACACCTGGCAAGGTTTTTCACAATCTGGCATTTTCCCAGCGTGAGTTTCCCTAAAGACAGCATCAGTTTTCATGGGATACAGAGTAGATGTTTTAAAATATGTATGTTTTGCAATATTACTTTTCAGTAGGTGTGCTCTGGGCTCTTTCAAATTGCATTGCTCAAGAGTTCATTTATAAAAGCTTTGTATAAATATTTTTTTTTAAGAAAAAAAGCCTCGCTCTTGTGTCCTTTTCATCGTGAATGCTCCGAAATAAGTATTTTTAAAGGTTTTAAGTGTGTGATCTAAAGCTCGTCTCGCTGCTTTTCCCGTGCAATGTCTATATCAGTAGTGGCGAACCTATGGCACGGGTGCCAGAGGCGCAACACAGAACCCTCTCTGTGGGCACGCGCACCGTCACCCCAGTCCTAGGCCTTCAGCTGGGTTTTATAAAACCTTTTCGCTTTAAGACTCCGCCGCCGTGTGCAAAATAAAAGGTTCAATCAATCAGTCCATTTCAATTTCTCATGGAAAAAAAAAGATCTTGTAAAGTTGGAATTGATTGATTGAACTTTTTAGTCCCACCCAGTCTGCCGTTATCACCGCAGCCACGCCCACCCAATGGGCCACGCCCACCCAATGGGCCACACCCACCCGGCACCCGACGATACATAAGTGGGTTTTGGGTTGCAGTTTGGGCACTCGATCTCTAAAAGGTTCGCCATCACTGGTCCATATTTTTTAGCCCAAGGATAATTTGCTTTGAAATCCCTCCTTTTCATGTCATAATAAATCAGTGGTTCTCAACCTGTGGGTCGGGACCCCATTTGGGGTCGAACGACCATTTCACGGGGGTCGCCAAACAACGCAGTCCACCATTTTTTCCCCCCTTTTCCTTAGCTGTGCTACTCCCTTTTATTCTATTGGCTTTTGAAAGCCAATAGAATAGACTCTTGAATAGAGTCTAATTCTATTGGTTTTCAAAAGCCAATAGGAATTGTCCAGACTGTCTCTGCCCTGCTGAGCCTGCCAAAAGTCCCATTCTGCAAACGGTGCTGCACCAGTTGAGTAGTCCTCGACTTACGACCGGTTGAGTAGTCCTCGACTTATGACCGGTTGGGGGTCGCGGCATTAAAAAGGTTGAGAACCAGTGTAATAAATTATCTGCAGAACATAGAGCTTTGCTGTTGTATGATGGGGGTGGGTGGATTAAATTGCTTAGCAACTTTCTCAACCTTAGTATCTTTAAAATGCGTGGACTTCAACTCCCAGAATTCCTCTGGCAGCCATTGTTTACAGGTAGTTCTCAACTTACAGCCATTTAGTGATCGTCCAAAGTTAGAATGGCACTGAAAAAAGTGAATTATAACCATTTTTCACGCTTAACGACTGTTGCGGCCTCCCCATGGTCATGTGATCAAAATTCAGATGCTTGGCAACGGACTCATATTTATGACGGTGGCCGTGTCCCTGGGTCACGTGATCACCTTTTGCAACTTTCTCACGAGCCAATGGGGAAGCCAGATTCTCTTAACAACCGTGTTACTAACTTAATAACTGCAGGGATTCATTTGACAACTGTAGCAAGAAGCGTCACAAAATGGGGCAAAAGCTCACCTGTCTTGCTTAGCAATGGAAATTTTGGGCTCAATTGTCATCGTAAGTCGAGGACTACCTGTATAAGGAACATTTCCTAGAAGAGGGAAAGAGTTTCAGAGATTCCTGTCTTTAGATGTTTTAATCTTCCCATTCCCAGGATTACAGGTAACCCTCGACTTGCAACGCTTCATTTAGTGACCGTTCAAAGTTACGATGGTACTGAAAAGTGACTTATGGCCCTTTTTCACACTTACGACATCCGTAGCATCCCCTATGATCATGTGATCAAAATTCAAATGCTTGGCAACTGGGGTTCATACTTATGACCGTTGCAGTGTCCAAAGGTCACATGATCCTGTTGCGACTTTCTGACGAGCAAAGTCAATGGGAAAGCCAGATTGACTTAACGACCATGTTGCTAACTTAACACCTGCTGTGATTCACTTAAAAACTGTTCCATGTAAAATGGGGCAAAATTCACTTAACTGGACCCAGATTGTTGGGGGCAATGTAAATATATATATATATATATATATATATATATATATATATATATATATATATATATACACACACATTGCTTACTGGTGTACACCGCTTAGAGAGTGCTTGTACTTAAAGCGGTATATAAGTCTCATAAATAAATAAATAAATAAATAAATAAATAAATAAATAAATAAACTGTCTCGCTTAGCCATGGAAATTTTGGGATCAGCTGTGGTCATAAGGTGAGGACTACCTATGCCAGACATGTCAAACACAAGGCCGGGGGCTGGATGCAGCCCGCAAAGTGGTTTCATGTGGCCCGCGAAGCCATCCTGGAAACAGTGAGGGAACGGCCCCCGCTACCTTGGCCCTGGCCCAGGCCGGTCGAGAGACAATGTACAATTTTGTGGTGGCCATCTATGCTGAAACGCATTCAGTCTTAGCTCCACAAGGCTGTCTGGAAACTGCCGCGTTGGCCCTGCCCCTGAGTGCATGCTGGGGAGGTGTCACACTTTGTGAGGAATAAAGAAATGCACCATCGCCTGGAAGTGGCCAGCAAATGGCTCTCGCCTACTTCACCTATCCGGCTTGCCTTGGCGCTTGCCCCGGTCCCACCCCCTTCTGCCAGAGACCCTCAGATCTGTCCCACTCTTGCCCAGGCCCCCACAGGCACCCTTGACGCGAACGATGTAGAACTGACCATGCCCACCCAGTAGGCCACATCCACCCTGGCCACAACCCCCCCAAGGGCAACCGCAATGCTGATGTGGCCCTCAATGAAATTGAGTTTGACACCCCTGACCTATGCAATCATTCCAGGAAGTATTTGCATTTTTGAAATATATATATATGCACCTGCGCCCTTGGATCTTATCTCCTGCCCTATTTATGCAAATACATTTTTGTTGAGAGTGCAGGTTGTGTCAACGTGTTTGCCATCCTGAACACACCTCGGAAGAATGTCCCCTTTGTGCAGCTTTCACACGCTCCCCTCCTCCCCTTGCGTACAGCTTATGCAAACACAGGCGGGTGCCACTGTCAAGCACAGCATTTTATTACCTCACACAGAATTTGCAAAAAACTGAAAAACACATCGAGATCATTGTTAGACCCTCAGGCAAAATAATAATAATAATAATTCTGATCTCGTGATTTGGCTGTAAAAAAAATAAAAATCGTGCTCCAATCACAGGCCTCCCTGAGATTTACTGGACGGCAACGCCGTCGGCTGCCTCTTTGAGGTTTTGCTGCCCTGCTTCGAATTTGGACGCCTTTTGGTTTTGGCCATAAGGGAGGAGGAGTGACTGTTGTGTAAGGAACGCTCCTTCTCCGCCTCGGTGACTTTGTCCAGACCAGGCAACTGCTGGCATGGAAAGGGCGAACCCAGCAGTGGGTTTTGCTGCAAGAACTCGCCGTAGCGTTTTCTTCGGCTCAGCCGGTAGTTGTATAGCCTTTCTTCTTCCGCTTTGGGGTCTTCCAGAACGCCGTCCCAGCGGAGGCTTTCGTTGGGCAGGGAGGCCTCTCCTGGGGTCGAGACTGATGTGGCCGACGAGCAGGCCAAGAGCGAGTTCCTGGTGGCTTTGCCCGAACCTCGCTTGCTATGGCCTTCCTGCGGGGCCCCGTCGCACTTCCAGCGCTGGAGCAGATCGAGAGGAAATATGGCAAAGATGGATTTTTTCTTGACCTGGCTGGAATGGTTGTCTGTTTTAAAAAATAAAATAAAATCAGAAGCGATTGGGAGTAATTGTGAATTTTGACAGGAGAGGGGGTCTCGACTTACGACCGCAAGTGGGACCAGAATTCCCGTTGCTAAGTAAGGGAGATATTAAGTCAGTCGTGCCCAATTTTACCTTTTCGGGCCTGGTTGTTAAGAAAATCGCCGCCGTAGTTTTATTTTGTTTTATTCGCTCAGTGTTGAATGTTATGTGTCTATAATTCATAGGGGTTTCTGACACAAAGAAAGAAAGAACTGCACTTCTTGAGTGAATCATGTGATCCTTAAGCAAATCTGGCTTCCCCCATTGACCTTGCTTGTCAGAAGCTGACTGGGAAGGTCGCAAATGGTGATTATGTGACCCTGGGACATTGCACTTGTTGTAAACATATGCCAGTTGCCAAGCACCTGAATTGTGATCAAGTGACCCTAGGATCAATCAATCAATCTGAATAGAGCTGGAAGGACTTTGGAGGTCTTTTAGTCCAACCCCCTGCTCAGGCAGGAAAAACTATACCATTTCAGACAAATGATGGTCTAATCTCTGCTTAAAAACTTCCAATGATGGAGTACCCACAACTTCTTCTGGAGGCAAGCCGTTTCACTGATTAATTGTTCTGACTGTCAGGGAATTCCTCCTTAGTTCTAGGTTGCTTCTCTCCTTGATTAGTTTCCCTCCATTGTTTCTTGTCTTGCCTTCTGGTGCTTTGGAGAATAGGGTTGACCCCCTCTTCTTTGTGGATGCTGCAATGATTGTGAGGACTGGTTGTAGGTGACTTTATTCAGCGCTGCTGTAATGGTCCCTAAACAAAAGGCTATACGTTGAGGACTACCTGACACCAACTTGTAGTTTTATATAAATAAGTATAAGTTACATCAATATATATAGCAAACAAGATAGTCGGGCAAGCAGGAGCATCATGAGGAAAATTGACATAAAAGCATCATGAGGTAAATCAGAGCACAAAAGGGTGCACAGAAGAAAAAGGTGGGAAAAAAGAGAACCTCCCCCTTCACACCCACAGCAACCAATCACAGCGCAGATTGCCTCAGGCAGGAGCCAGCACTCCCCAATCAATCAACTACAAGATGCAAATATTAAGCTAACTAAGTTAACTAAGTTAGCTTAGAGACAGTTGTTCACAGTTGGTAACAGACGAATAGGAAGTAACCTGAGATCTATCAGATTATTACTTATGAATATATGTGCATCCCTCATTTTCCTCTCCTTTCCACAATGTATAAAGATGAGTGAATCTTTTTGCCTCAGGGATGTGACTCCTACTATTCTTTTGGAAGGGACCTTCTCTGGTCTCTAAACTGTCAGGGAAATTGCACAGCAGGTGTCCAAATGGAGTCAGAGATGCTGACATAAACTTGTTAACTTTATATAAATAAATATATTTTACATCTACACGTACAGCAAACTAGTCAGGCAAATGGGCATCATGAGGTAAATCAACCCAGGAGAAGCCTCGTGAGGTAAATCAACAAGCACCAAAGGGCACAGAAGAAAAAGGCGGGAAAAAGGGAAACTCCTCCTCCACACCCACAGGAACCAATCACAGTGCAGATTGCCTCATACAGGAGCCAGCACCCTCCAAACAATCAACCACAACTTTGTGTTCTGGCTCACCGCACAACCCCACTGCTCCAGCTACTAAATTGTTAAATATCTTAACAAACTGTCCTGCTTAGCAATATAAATTTTGGGTTCAATTGTGGTCATAAGTGGAGGAGTACCTGTATTTCTAGGTATCCATTTCCCTTATCAGCAGTGCGAACCATCAGTTTCCAGAGCCCACAGGAATCCCTTCAGACCATCCTTGTCATGCCGAAGGGATGGGTCTGTGAGCTTCCATGATAAATTTCTCCCAGTCCCTGATTATTGAATTACAGGTAGTTCTCGACTTAAAACCGTTCGTTTAGTGACCGTTTGAAGTTACAACGGTGCTGAGAAAAGTGACTTGACTGTTTTTCACAATTACAACCACTGTAATATCCCCATGGTCACATGATCAAAACTTATACGCTTGGCAACTGACTCATATTTATGACGGTCGCAGAGTCCCAAAGTCACGTGATTCCCCCTTTTGCGACCTTCGGACAAGCAAAATCAACAGGGAAGCCCGATACACTTAACAACCGTGTTACTAACTTGACAACTGCAGTGATTCATTTAACAACTCTGGCAAGAAAGGTCATAAAATGGGGCAAAACTCACAAGTGTTGGCTTAGCAGTGGAAAGTTTGGGCTCAACCTTGGTCGTAAGTCACGGCCTACCTGTTCCTGCCATGCAGCTATAGTGCAGCCACCGACTCTGCGCGGTCCTGGAGGTTGTCGAGCTAAAAAATGGGATTGCTAATGCTCCCTTCAATAACAATAACAATAATAGAGTTGGAAGGGACCTTTGAGGTCTTCTAGTCCAGCCCCCTGCTCAGGCAGGAAACCCTATACCATTTTAGACAAATGGTTATCCAGTCTCTTCTTAAAAACTTCCAGTATTGGAGCATTCACCACTTCTGGAGGCAGGTTGTTCCACTGGTTAATAGTTCTAACTGTCAGGAAGTTTCTCCTTAGTTCCAGGTTGCTTCTCTCCTTGATTAGTTTCCATCCGTTGCTTCTTGTCCTGCCTTCAGGTGCTTTGGAAAATAGCTTGACTCCCTCTTCTTTGGGGCAGCCCCTTAAGATATCGGAAGACTACTATAATGGCTTGGCCTGACTTAGAAGCTCTGAAATGTCAGTTGGATTTTATATAGCTACCCACCGTGACCTGGAACTTTATTCTTTTTCTTCTTTTTCTTGCTGGCTTTCTCCTTGACGGGCGTCGGGGGCAATTTGGCTGCCAGCTTGCTGCCCTTCGCTCCCTCCCCATCAGACATGGCATCCTGCCGGCCTGTCTCCATCCTTCTAGGAAGCCCTGGTGGGCCGCTGAACCTGAACTCAAGACAAAACACCAGGACAGATGTGTGGTTATTGTACTTTCTCACAACTCTGGCGCGGCAGCCCCACGCTTTAAAGAAACGAGCTCGTGGGTTAAAATAGCAAAAGAACGGAGTAACTAACGCAGACTGGGTAACTACCAACTAAATGACATTCTCCCTGTTGCTATGATTTATTATTATGGTTCACTGCCGTCAGCCAGATGTTTTGGCATTTTTGTCCCGGTCTCAAGTCCTTTCCAAGGACCTGAGTTTGGCAGATGTGGATATTTGATGATATTTAAAGGTATTATCGCAGGAGGGTTTCTTTCTTTTTCTTTCTTTCTTTCTCTTTCTTTCTTTCTTTCTTTCTTTCTTTCTTTCTTTCTTTTCTTCTTTCTTTCCCTCCCTCCCTCCCTTCCCTTCTTTCCATCAGTCAATTGCAAAAGGCAGCTTTGCTTGGAACTGGTTTAATATTATTAAACATCAACAGCTGCCAAAAATGCCAAATCCAGTCTGAACATCTGGCTGACCATGCCACGGATCATAATAATAATCATTAATAATGTTCCCCTTTTGTGCAAATTGCTCTCCATTGCCTCCCCAGTTGCTGATTGTTTTCTGCAGGGTTTCCTGTAAGGACTCCCTGTCTTTCCCTCCCATTTCCTCTGGAACAGTGATTCTCAACCTTTCTAATGCCGTGACCCCATAATACAGTTCCCCATTTTGTGGTGACCCCCAAGTGGGTGTGGCCACCAATAAGAGGGAATAGGACAGCTAGGGAAAAGGGAAAAAAATGGCGGACAGCATGGTTTGGTGACCCCTGTGAAATGGTCATTCGACCCCAAATGGGGTCCCGACCCACAGGTTGAGAACCACTGCTCTGGAAGGTCCCCCTTTTTTCCTGAATCCACCTGGGGGGGAGCAGGGGGGGCTACCTTAGAAACACCTGAAAATTTCAGCTGCTTTGACAGTCAGCAGCTATTCACCGCAGCTGAATGGGGCTAAGGACCCTGGATGGCTGTTCCTCCCCAGAGAGGCTGCTTAGCACCCTTTCAGGTTAAGACTTTTAAATTTCCCCAAGCTTTTTTTTTTAAATTGCATTTTAATGCACGTTTAACTTTTTAAAAGTTTTAGCTTTTAAATGCTTGTGTGGTGTCCTTATTCTGTTTTTTATTGGGTTTTCCTGGGTAGGTTTTAACTCCTTTTTCCTTTATAGATTTCCTTACTTTTTCCTTTCTTTTTTCTATTTTCCTTTCTTTCCTTCCTTCCGTTCCTCTTTCCATTTATCCTCTCGCTCTATTTCTCCCTGCCTCCCATTTTCCTTCCTTCCTTTCCCCCTCCCTCCCTCCTTTTCTTTCCTTCTCTCCTTCCTCCATTCATTTTCCCTCTTCCTTCTTTTCTTTCTCCCTCTTCTTCCTCCCTCCCTCCTTTTCTTTCCTTCTTTCCTTCCTTCTCTCCTTCCTCCATTCACTTTCTCCCTTCCTTCTTTTCTTCCTCCCTCTCCTTCTCCCTCCCTCCCTCCTTTTCTTTCCTTCCTTCCTTCCTTCTCTTCTTCCTCCATTCATTTTCCCCCTTCCTTCTTTTCTTCCTCCCTCTCCTCCCTCCCTCCCTCCTTTTCTTTCCTTCCTTCCTTCCTTCTCTTCTTCCTCCATTCATTTTCCCCCTTCCTTCTTTTCTTCCTCCCTCTCCTTCTCCCTCCCTCCCTCCTTCTTTCCTTCCTTCCTTCTCTTCTTCCTCCATTCATTTTCCCCCTTCTTTCTTTTCTTCCTCCCTCTCCTCCCTCCCTCCCTCCTTTTCTTTCCTTCCTTCCTTCCTTCTCTTCTTCCTCCATTCATTTTCCCCCTTCCTCTTCTTCCTCCCTCTCCTTCTCCCTCCCTCCCTCCTTCTTTCCTTCCTTCCTTCTCTTCTTCCTCCATTCATTTTCCCCTTCCTTCTTTTCTTCTTCCCTCTCCTTCTTCCTCCCTCCCTCCCTCCTTTTCTTTCCTTCTCTCCTTCCTCCATTCACTTTCTCCCTTCCTTCTTTTCTTCCTCCCTCTCCTTCTCCCTCCCTCCCTCCTTTTCTTTCCTTCCTTCCTTCCTTCTCTTCTTCCTCCATTCATTTTCCCCCTTCCTTCTTTTCTTCCTCCCTCTCCTTCTCCCTCCCTCCCTCCTTCTTTCCTTCCTTCCTTCTCTTCTTCCTCCATTCATTTTCCCCTTCCTTCTTTTCTTCTTCCCTCTCCTTCTTCCTCCCTCCCTCCCTCCTTTTCTTTCCTTCTCTCCTTCCTCCATTCACTTTCTCCCTTCCTTCTTTTCTTCCTCCCTCCCTCCTTTTCTTTCCTTCCTGCCATTACAAGCTGCCCACAGAGCTTGGCTATTGTGCAGTTTTAAAATGTATAACCGAATCCATTTGATCCTTATGATCGAGATGAGTCATTAGGATTAATTTTAAATGTTTTTTTTATATATAAAACATTTAAAATTAATCCTAATGACTCATCTCTATCTTAAGATAAAAAATGGATTCGGTTATACATTTAAAATTAATCCGAATGACTAATCTCTACCTTAAGGATCCAATAGATTCGGTTATACAGCATTAATAATATTGTTCCTAACAATTGATTTGTTACTTATTTGCTAAAATTGATTACAGATTCATTATTGGATTACTTTTGTAATCTTCCCTCCCTTGAAGATTTCGGGGACCACCCCTCCCCCTCCGGGTCTCCCCGGGATCCCCCCCACTCCCACTCCCCCCCCGTGGGAATTACAAACACGCGCGGGGTGGGGCGGGCGCCCCCTCTCCCCCTCCTCTGGGCTCCGCCGGCGCAGCGCTCCTCGCCGCCTGTCGGTGAGTCGGCGCGTGTCCAGGGCGACGCGTCTCCACGGCAACGGTGCTGCGTCCCGCTTGGACACCGCCCTCCGAAGATTCCATCCGCGCGGCGGGACTGACAGAAAGTAGTCCCGGCCGAGAGATACGTGTGCAATCGCGTGCAACGCACAGATTTATTCTTACTCCCCTTGGAAGGCGTGGAAAAGCTAAACGAAGCAGGGTTGGAGCTGAATGGTTTGACTCTGAGAAGCTAACAGACTTTAAGCCAGCTTGTCTCAACCTGGGCAGCTTTTCAGTTGGTGGATTGCAACTCCCAGAATTCCCTAACCAGCAATCTGAGCTTTCCCAGCCTCGATCCCCAAATTACAGGCAGTCCTCTACTTACAACCATTCATTTAGTGACCCCTCAATGTTATAATGGCACTGGAATAAGTGATTTATGACTGTTTTTCCACACTTACAACCCTTGCAGCGTTCCCACAGTCACATGATCAAAATTCAAAAACTTGGCAACTGACTCGTATTTACGACGGTCACGGCGTCCCAGGTTCACGTGATCCCCTTTTGTGACCTTCTGACAAGCAAAATCAACGGGGGAAGCCAGATTCACTTAACAATCGTGTGACTAACTTGACAACTGCAGTGATTCACTTAACTGTGGCAAGGAAGGTCGTAGAATGGGGGCAAAACTCACTTAGCAACTGGCTCACTTAGCAACAGGAATTGTGGTCGTAAATCGAGGACTACCTGTATTAAGCAGATCTACTTCTGGGTCCAATCCAGCTTTGTTCCAAATTGGGCACATGCTGTGGAAACGCACCACGATCAACTTGTTCTCATCACAGGTTGTACTTGTGCCTGTGTTTAATTTAAACCAGCTATCTGGGTTTGCAGGCAGCAAATCATCATCTTGACACCCAAACTAGCAGTTTACCTGAAACAACCCCCCCCCCTCCGTTCTTTACAGTGGTAAATTCTGTTCACCTCATCTTTGAGCCTTTGCTATGCCTAAACCTAAAGGTAAACTGCTCCTGTACATGAAAAGGTTCTATTCTTAAATCAGTAACTTTTGGTGTATACATGTAGTCCCCGGCTTATAACCACAATTGGGCCCAAAATCTTTGTTGCTAAGCAAGACAGCTGTTATATTTTGCCCAGTGGTGGGATTCAAATACCTGAACAACCAGTTCTCTTATTGGATGCAGGTCTGTGCCTCCAAGGCCTAGAACGGACTTCTGGAAGTGGCATCCACGCACTTCCGGTGGGCCGTTCTAGGCCTGGGAGGCCTCCTTCTGGCCTCCAAGACCTAGAACGGACTTCTGGAAGTGGCGTCCACGTACTTCCAGTAGGCCGTTCTAGGCCTGGGAGGCCTCCTCCTGGCCTCCAAGGCCTAGAACGGACTTCCGGAAGTGGCATCCACACACTTCTGGTGGGCTGTTCTAGGCCTGGAAGGCCTCCTCCTGGCCTGGGAGGCCTAGAATGGACTTCCGGAAGTGGCATCCATGTACTTCTGGTGGGCCGTTCTAGGCCTGGAAGGCTTCCTCCTGGCCTGGGAGGCCTAGAATGGACTTCCGGAAGTGGCATCCATGCACTTCTGGTGGGCCGTTCTAGGCCTGGGAGGCATCCTCCTGGCCTCTAAGGCCTAGAACAGACTTCCGGAAGTGGCATCCATGCACTTCTGGTGGGCCGTTCTAGGCCTGGGAGGCCTCCTCCTGGCCTGGGAGGCCTAGAATGGACTTCCAGAAGTGGCATCCATGCACTTCTGGTGGGCCGTTCTAGGCCTGGGAGGCCTCCTCCAGGTTTCCGAGGCCTAGACTGGACTTCTGGAAGCAGTGTGCATTCAGCCGGTTCTCCAAACTCAGCAAAATTTAGCTATCGGTTCGGCCTGGCTTCTCCATTGGTTTTGTTTGTCAGAAGGTCGCCGAAGGGGGAGCACATGACCCCCCCCAGGACACTGCAACCATCATAAATATGAGGCGGTTGCCAAGCGCCCAAATTTTGATCACGTGACTATGGAGGATGCTACAACAGTCAGGATGCTGAAAAACGGTCATAAGTAACTTTTTTTTTTAGTGCTGTTGTAACTTCAGTCACTAAACAAAGGGTGATCCACTCTGCTTCTAGTAAAACCCCTTCCCCAGGCCCATATAAAACCAATGCGGCCTTGCTAAGCCATGAATGCTGGTTTACACAATCACAGTGGCTAGATTCACCCAACATGATGGTGACTGTGTGATGTGCAAATCCGACTTTTACGGAATCTCTTTTGTCTTGCAAATCTAACATGCCCCTCTCGATAAGGATCAGAAAAGAAACACTGTCTCTCATTTAGCCCTGGGATTTATTGATGGCAGCTTTTTAAACATCAGCTTTTGGGCTAATAACCCTCTAATTATTTGATTACAGTCGCAGGAAATTGGCTTTTAAATAATTAGGTTGGAGAGGTGAACCCTGAAGGCACAAAACAGATCACGGAGAGTTCCCTTCAAACAAAGAGGCTGAAGTTGCTTTGCAATGGAGAATCATAAACTGGAAAAGGGACCTTAGAGGTCATTTAGCCTAACCCCGGCCCCAGCCA